AGGAGGAGGAGGAGGAGGAGGAAGGGGAGAGGGACAGCAAGCAAATCTGCTCACCAAAGACCCACTCTCTAAGTGCTCTGACAGCTAAGTTCCCTTAAATGGCACTAGGAAAATAGACTTTTTTTTTTTTTTTTTAATGCAATGGCAGGGAGATGGCTCTCTCTATTTAAGGAAGAAAGAGCAGAACTGAGTGTTAGAGCTAGCAAAAAACTGAAGAAAGAAGAAAAAGCGGCAAACGATCAAATCCCCAGACTATGAACACAGAGGGAAGCTCAGCTGAGAATACAAACTCCAGTAGACACAGGACTGTGTAACATAGCAATTCTCAAACATTTTGGTCTCAAGACCTAATCCCCTGAAATTATTGAGGATCCCTGAGAGCTTTTGTTTGTATGAGTTACACATTTCAGTATTTAACAAATTAGAAAGTATAACTGAGAATTTAAAAAATATGTAGGAATTAAGTTATTTTTAAAAATACAGGTTGAATACCCCTTATCCGAAATGCTTGGGACCAGAGTGTTTCAAATTTCACATTTTTTTCGGATTTTGGAATATCTGCATTATACTTATCAGTTGAGCATCCCTAATCTGAAAATTCAAAATCCGAAATGCTCCAGTGAGCATTTCCTCTGAGTATCGTGTTGGCACTCAAAAAGTTCTGGGCTCTGGAGCATTTCAGATTTTGGATTTTCAGATTAGGGAGGGTCAACCTGTAATAAATTCATTATATGTTAACATATTTTTATGACAAATAATTATATTTTTCACAATGAAACAAACATTTAGTGGGAAGAACTGCACTTTCATAATTTTGCAAATCTCTTTAACGTCTGGTTTTAAAAAAAAGACAACTGAATCTTCACATGCCCCTCGGAATTAAATACATTGCAATGTTGTTTCGATTGAAGTATAGGAAGATGTGCCATGTGGTGGGAAAAGGGAAGACCTCATAGATCCCCTAGAGAGGTCCCAGGAACCCTCAGGGTCCTTAGACCAGGCTTTGAGAACCACAACTATAACCACCTGGAGCAAGGACTTTGAATTCTGAAATATTTGAGCACGAATCTAGATAATCTGTTACATCTGTATGACCTTGGCAAGTTATAATCTATAGAATCTATAGAATAGCAATGGCATTATGACTTCACTTTCTGTATATAGTGTGTTTAGCCTAATGCCTGACACATGGTACATAAGTCAGTAGTGATTATTTTTAATATTTTTATTAATATCAAATATCCATGAAATGTGAGCAACTGTGGGTCCAACTACAAGTGTCTGTACATTCAGGCTGCATTCTTCATAATCCTCTTCTAAGGGTTCAAAAATACTCATCTGGCTACTCCGGCTCAGGGAAAAACACTGTAAGTATCTTTTAATCACAGCCTTCCCGTCCTCGACATTATATATAAACGAGGGAGCATTAAAGGAATTGTGATGGAGAATTATAAATACAATAAAATTTTTTAAATGAATGAATCTAAGACTAATAAAAACTCATTAAAGCATTTTATGGGAAACAATAAACGTTTATTGATGCAATTAGCAGAATCTGGAGATTTTACCAAGTAATATGAGAGGCCCAATATATAAAATTTAAGACCGGGATCTTAAATATTAAAGCCAATCAGAAATTCCAACATACATATTTAAATGATTAGTAGATTACAAGGCTTACCCTTCAGAAACTAAAACCATTCTGGATCACATGCTTTAAGAGGTTTTTCTTTTGTATAGTCTAACGTGTTTATTTGCTTTGGTTTTCCTTCATTTCTGGAAATTTCACAGCCCCAAAACCAATAGCAGAGGCACCTGGTGATAACTGACAACCCTACCTAACCTTTAGGAGAATTGCCGTTCATTTGGGGGAATGGGTCACACAAAGGTTTTTTAACAGTATTTACTTAGTTACTCATGACAGGCGTAGGACATAGGGTGTTATGTAAAAAGCGAACTAGTATCAGGCACTGTTTCCTCCTGTTTTAAGATTTATGATCATGAAATGTGCGATCCAACAACAGATTTTAATGAGCACTGCCAGAATAGGCTTAGGGGTGGAGAAAATGGAGGAAGGAAGAAGGGGAGGAGGAGGGGAGGTAGAGGGAGAGGAAGAGGGGAGGTAGGGGAGGGGGGCAATGTCACTTCATTCCGAGTTAAGGAAACAAGTCTGGAGTCCCCAGAGGAGTGATAACATTCTGGAAGTGCTCTTAACCTGGACAGCTTCGATTAAAGGTCTCTGATTTGGAGAGGGACCGGCGCTCCAGGGATGTGCACCAAATTCATTCCAACGACCATAGGGTCACGAAGGGGACAGTGGTAAGCCTGGCAGCTGTGGCTGGGAACAAGGCTCTGGAAAGGGAGCTCGAGGGTTACACGGCCAGGCCCACCCCTAGAGGCTGGTTCTGTCCTCTGGGGCACCTATGCCTGGAACTCAGGAGGCTGGCGCCAGAGGGAGATGGTGGCTTGTTCCACGCACCGTGCAAGTGGCCTGCAGGAGCTCGGGTAACAGAGCGTGGGCCCTGGGGTCTGGCAGCTGTGGGCTCACGTTTTTGCTCGATACCGGTGAGCTGCAGAACCCTGGACGAGTTCACAATCTTCCCACATCTCAGTTTCCTCACTGAGGAAAGGAGAATCGTCGTAGCACCTCAGAGAGGTGCTGGGAGATCTGATGAAAGGACAGACACGGAGAGCTTGGGCTTATCAGTTTATCTCAACTAAAGGAAATACTTGAACCAGTAGGAGAACAATTAAGTCCTAAATTGTGTGGTATGACAAATAGGAATTTGAAACAGAGAAGAAAACCCCAGAGTGTGTGCCATCAGAGGAAGTTTCCTGGAGAAATCTGGGATTCGATAGTAAGTGGCACTTAAATCAGCATATGGTGGGAGTGGCCCTGGAAAGTCGCAGCCCAGCTGGAGCAGGAAGCAAGGAGGCCGAGGCTCGCTTGTTCAATTAACTACTCAGTTTTGGTAGACCAACTTTTCACTTCATTTTGACTCTATGTGAGCATTTAAGAAATTATTTTTTCTGTACTCCTGTTTCCTAACATAGAAACTATAGACAGAGAGGGGGAAATGATAGGCAAAACAAGAACCTATTCCTAAAACTGTCCTCTAGGATGGGAGGAACACTCTGGAATATAGTCATCTGCACGTCCTCATTAATTACACTACATTCTCCAGAATCGCTCATTACCAAACATACATTCATGTATACAGCCCTAGGAAGGCTCTGTCTCTAAGAAAACATTATTGCCCACTTGCATCGAGTGCCTGACTCATGTCAGATAATTCTCCCAACAGCCTTATAATTAGGTACTGTTATCCTCATTTTACAGGGGAGAAAATCGAGGTACAGAGAGGTTAAGAAACTTGCCCAAGATCACACAGCAGTGGAGCCAGGATGTACATCTAAGCTGCCTTAATCACTCTCCTGTACTGCCTCTCCCATAAATGAATGCATCTTTAAGAGTATATTCTGCTCTGGGAGGCTGAGGCGGGCGGATTGTTTGAGCTCAGGAGTTCGAAACCAGCCTGAGCAAGAGTGAGACCCCGTCTCTACTAAAAATAGAAAGA